GCATGAATCTAAACACTGTTGGGCTTTTTAATATCCAATAGTAACTTTTATGAATGTTGAAGAACTAATTTAGAAAAGTGTGCATTGTTGATCAGCAAAAATATTAATATATAACGTGATAGGTTTGATGATAAACATAAGAGAGGGGGTGATATAAAATTAATAATTGAGTTCTTGTTTAAATGATGAGCTCCATATTAATGAGAACTCATAATTTAGTAAGAGAAAAAAAACAAAGTATTTCAGTACACTATACGAATTATAATAGTACATGATAAATGTGCATTGAAAGCACAGAAATGAAAAAATACTAACAGAAAACATATTCGGGTTAAGTCCGAAGAATAACTAAAAACTTACCAGATAAAGTGGGAAAGGGCATTCTAGACAAAGGAAACATTGAGTTAAAAAGTTTAGATATTTTGGTAGCATTTGGATAATACTGCTTGATATGATTGAACTATGGAATTTGGTACAATGTCTGGATTAACTCCTAATAAAATGGTTTGGGACAAAAATACAGTATGTGTAAGCTCCAAGAATATCAAGATTTGGTGTGACTAGAGAATAGAGTATGCATTTGAGGGAAAAGGAATGCTGAAGTGAAGCTGAAAACAATTGATTGTGACCAACATATCCTGGGCCTTTTGTGACGGGCTAAAGAATTTGGACTGTGCTATCAGGAGTCATCTGCTATCAAGAGTCATTGCTATCATATCCTATTAGGAGCCATTGGGTTTTAACCAAGAGAGAGACACACGATCAAGTATGGAAGAGCACAAAGTGGAGGTGGAAAAATGCAGACAGTAAGATTAAAGAGTAGAATACAGTAATTGTCCAACTAGTGCTAAAGAGGGACTTAGGTTTCAGTAGTGACAAAGATTAAAACCATATATTCAGAGATGCTTTTGTATATAAATATTTTACGTAACTATTTCTTATGTGAATTCTCTATATAACATTTCGGTCATGCCATCTCCAGCCCTAACACACTCTGTTCATATCCCTATGGTTGTAATGTGTTTGATTAGGTTCTGATTTCTGCTTCAGAGCTGTGGTTCTTCAAGGGCAAGCATTTTGCTGCACTTCAATGTAGCTACAGAAGCAGATATAACACCTGAAACTAATAAGAACTCAATAAGTGGATGGATGGATAGATGAATACATGTTTTCTAAAAACATAAAATTGTTTTGGTTGAGAGGGTTAGAAGTAGAGAATATCAGTGTTTCTAACTCAGTCAACAAAACTCGATTTATCAGGATAAAGGCTACGAGGGGAAAAAATAGTTTAGGTAGAAGCTATTTTACATGTGTCATTGTGCTCATAGCAAACCTAAAACTGCTGAGTCGGGTTTCTTAGGCTGAACTTTGATGGCCATGTCTTTCTTCCTGCAGAGGAAAACCTTGTGAGTTTGAATAGCTCGCCTTAGCAGCCAAGCACTTAACCATTATTCTACCAAGGTTGTTATCTTATTTGTTGCTGCTGCTGTTGTTGTTAGGTGCCATCAAGTTGGCTCGAACCCATAGCAACCCTATGCACAACAGAGTGAAACACTGCACGGCGCTGCACCGTCCTCACAATTGTTCCTATGCCGGAGCCCAATGATGCAGCCACTGTGTCAATCCATCTTGTCAAGGATCTTCCTCCTTTTTGCCACTCCTCCACTTTACCAAGGCTGATGCTCTTCTCCAGGGACTGGTCTCTCCTGACATTATGTCCAAAGTATATAAGACGAAGTCTTGCCATCCTTGCCCCTAACGAGCCCTCTGGCCTTCTTTTTCCAATACTGATCGGTTTGTCCTTTTAGCAATTCATGGTACTTTCAATGTTCTTCTCCAGCACCACAATTCAAATGCATTTATTCTTCTATGGTCTTCCTTATTCAATGCCCAACTTTCATGTGCATGTGATGCAATGAAGAATACTATGCTTGGGTCAAGCGTACCTTAATCCTCAAAATAATATCCTTGCCTTCAATACTATAAAGAGGTCTTGTACAGCAGATTGACCAAATGCAATATGTCTTTTGACTTCTTGACTGCTGCTTCTATGGGCAGTGACTGCAGATTCAAGTAAGACAAGATCCTTGACAACTTCAATCTTTTCTCCATTTGCCATGATGTTACCTATTGGTCCAGTTGGGAGCATTTTGGTCTTCCTTACATTGAGTTGTAACCCATATTGAAGGCCTCAATCTTTGATCATCATCAGCAAGTGCTTCAATTGCTCCTCACTTTTAGTAAGCAAGGTTGTGTCATCTGCATACCACCGCAGGTTGTTAATAAGCCTCCCTCTAATCCTAATGCTGCACTCTTCACATAATACACCTTTTCTGGTGATTTTCTCAGCATATAGATTGGGAAAACCCTGACACACACATTTCCTGATTTGAAACTATACAATATTCCCTTGTTCTGTTCACACAATTACCTCTTGATCCATGTACAAGTTCCTTATGAGCACAATGTGGTGTTCTGGAATTTTCATACTTCTCGGTTATCCATAGTTTATTATGGTTCACATAGGCCAATGCCTTTGCATAGTCAATGAAACACAAGTAAACATCTTTCTGGTATTCTCTACTTTGAGCCAAGATCCATGTGACATCAGTAATGATATTCCTTGTTCATGTCCTCTCCTGAATCTGACCTGACAGTTCTCTGTCAATGTACTTTGGCTACCTTTGTTGCAAAATTTTACCTGTGTGCAATATCAATGATATCTTTGTATAGTTTGAGCATTATGTTGGTTCATATTTCTTTGGAATGAGCACAAATATGGATCTCTTCCAGTCAGTCTTCTAAATTTCCTAGCACAGATGAGTGAGTGCTTTCAGTGCCTTTTCAGCTTTCTGAAACCTTTCAATGGGTTTTCTCTCGATTCCTGGAACCTTGCTTTGGGCGAATGCAATTTGAACTTCTTCCTTCAGCTCCATTGGTTCTTTCTCATATACTACCTCCTGAAAAGGTGGAGCGTTGACTAGTTCTTTGTGGAACAGTGATTCTGTGTATTCTTTCCATCTTCTCTTGATGCTTCCTACGTCATTCCGTATTTTGCCCAAGGAGTCTTTCAAAAGATTCCTTAAGCTTCAGCACTGGGCTCAAACATAACAATTCTGAGGACGGTGCAATTATCCAACAGAAGCTCACTGCCCACCTCTAACACACTCTCTGAGTGACTTCAACTGGAGGTTGGAAGAGGAGCCAATGAAATGACTGTATTATAATTTCTTCTTTCCCCAGACTCTATCAGTTTTTAAGAAGATTTTAACTGGTATCATCATTTTGCACAGTGGGTTGTTTCTTTTCTACATCCGGAAGTACTTTCATTTTCATTTTCTTTTACTGAATAAATTCTCTGAATCTCATTTTAAGAATTGAGTGTTTGGTTTGATTTCTTCACTACAAGAGTAGCAACAACTTAATGGCCAGTGTGATTCTGTTAACTAGACACTCCTAGGTGAGGGTAAAGCCAGAGCCCAACCTATCGATCAGGTCACAGCCTGGTGACATGTCCTGGGTGTTATAGACTTTTTATATACCAAAGAGAGCGGTTAAGCAGAAAGAATCAAATTCTCTTTGGCTTCACTTTCTGCTGGGACTGCATCTTGCCTCTGGTTCCCCAAACTTCTGCTGTGTCTCCTGTTAGTCCTAGGAACTGTCTGTGGACCACCAGTGGTGGATTCATTCAGCAGACCCCACCAGCTTGTACCCTCTGCTGTCTCTGCTTTGTCATGCAGCTGCTCTCCAGCTTCCATGAGTCAGGAGAAGCCTGACTTGAACACGACTGGACTTACCTACTTCTGCAACAGTGTAAGCCCTTTCTTGATATAAATCTCCTTCAATATACAAGCACATACCAGCATCATTGGTTTTGCTTCTCTAGAGAATCCAACCTAACACTCAGCAATGGATGAATAAGAAAAATGTGCTATACACATCCAATGGCATAGTTTCCATGAGAGCGGCGATTTTATGGTGGTTGAACTATTACTACCATGTGGTTCTTGAGCAGAGTGGCTCTGGCTGATGTGTGTGAACTGTCAGCTTTGGGTTAGCAGCTGAGCACTCACCCCCTACACCACCAGGACACCTTCCTCCACTTCCGGAACCTACGAAACATGAGTCTGAATGGCTAATCCCAGTTTGCTTTGTCAGTATGTGAAATATCTTCCACTAGGAAAGCAATTGTATTTTTATTTTAAAAAATAATTTATTTTAGTCTTCTGCTTCACTCCATGTTTTAAAATTTTTTGCTCTCAGTTTTTACCAGTTACCACCCCACCCCCCACCCCCCAAAGCTTGACACTCTATTTGGCAATAAGCAAGGAAAGGAATACAAGGTGGCAAATAGCTACTTAATTTAGGCAATTGTATTTAGGATGCAATTAAATTGGCATTCTCATAGGATGTTGATGGTCCTGTAGATTTTGGACTCAGAAGCACAAAACTCAAATTTAAAATTAAAAGGGACACATTCAAATTAAATTCATAATATGGCCACCAGTGACAGGTCTTCTCTTGTCATTAGCACAATGATTTTCATGTTACTTGGCAAGAAAAACTCATCTTTCGAAAATATCTATACCAATAATCACAACAGTATATTTGGTTAAATATATAGGTTATATAACTACACAGAATGCTCATTTCCTTCTTGAAAATAAATGCCTTTCTTAACAAGCCATTTTGCAATGTTTCAATCTTTCCTTTACCTTTAAAATAGATATATGTACATACATGCTAGACACACACACACACACACACAAGGGGGCTTCAAAACAGTTCCTGGAAAAATTGAATCAAATGATGGTAGAATTTTTCCATGAATTTTTTGATATACAGATAAATAATATTTCAACTCAATAATTTTAACTTCTGGTCATCTATCCCAAGGAATTAATGTTAAGAGATACAAATATTATTATAATATAATTATTAATAATTTGATACTAAAATATTTGAAAAGGTAGATGTCTTAGTAAATAATTACAGTCTAAGTAAAAAACTACTTAAAGACACCAAGAAGATTATGTAATAAAAAGCTGAAATAATATTTATCAGATATAACTACAAGTGGGAGAAACATTAACACAGAGGAAGCATGGCTGGTTGTAATAACTCAAAGCACCCAAAGTGACGATGTAGGTGCTGCTGAGCCTTAGGTTTGTCCTCTCCTTCTACTATCTATAAGCATGTAGTTGAAACTTTTTCAATAAAGATTATAAACTACCAAAAGTGTACTTTAAAATAAAGGCATTGTGAAGGAGAACATATGAGGAGGTATTGAGACGGTTTAAAGTCACTGAAAAGTATGCTGAGAAACCAGGAGTGGTGTTCTCAGCATAATTCTATGGAATTAAGGACATGCGAGGTGGACAATCGTATCTAAGGTTGAGTTACTGAGGGATGAGGCCCCAAAGCTAAAGACTCAGATGGACCCCAAAATATATTAAGTTTGGCCCTGAAATATGATGTATTTTCAGGAAGGAACATTCTGGATGTGATGGGTAGAGAGCCTGATGTGAGGACTTTTAAGGGATCTGAGCAGCTCAGGTCCCTTTGGGATGGCGTGGGGGCAAGAGCTCCAGGGACTGGCAGACTCGGTTCTATTCTTGATCACCTGGACACAGGGATGCGATTGGCATATTATTTTGTCCTTCCACAGCTGTTCAAGTTCTTCGAGTTTGGCTATCGTGAAATTCTGTTTCTTGCTTTTCCTTCTGACCTTTTGGGACATTTTCGCAATCACGCCTTTGGAGTACATTCTAGGGGATTTCTGTTCTCTTACAATGACATTGTGTGTACACCATGTGAATTCTGGTCATAAGTTAAAACTCACAATTGTGAGTAGTCTCGTCAACAGAAAAAACTTGCAACGAACACAGAAAATGACCAGAGTGCAGTAAAATCCTTCACCACAATCGTCCATGTGACTTTTAAACGTATTGAGTTTGCGCTGACGGCCGAGGCCTTAGGTTAGAGACATGGTCCCATCACAAGAAAACAGCATTAAAAGGAAAAGGTTCATGTCACAAAACAGAGCTAAGTACATTGGATCTGGACTTGAGAGTGCCTCCTTAATGTGTGGCTTCTCCGGAGGAATGTTACACACTGAATTTGCTTAATCATGAAATTTGCCAACGAGAGAACACAGTAACCAGCCAAGATGACACAGTAGGACACACGAAGGCTGGGGGACACAGGCACAGTAAAACATTACCCGGGGATAGATACAGGTATGCTTTGTATTCAACATCGACCATCAACATTGGTGCTGACCAGAATGAGGAACAAAGGGAGCCCCGCCCCTAAGTGATGGAGGAGGAGGAGAAGCAGAGAGAAGCAATAATGTCAGCTGATTGCCTTCCACTCTCTGTAGAAGCGCCGAATGTTCTTTATTTCCACGCCAGCTTCCGTTGCTGTCCCCAGGGCCAACTGCAGGGGATATGAGAAATTCCTAGCGTTATCCAGACAGATGCCTGTGATGATGGTGACCAGGCGCCTGGGATCCAGTGGGCCTGGCCTAGAGGACCTCAGCACGCTCTTGCAGAAGTCAAGGATGTTATAAAGATCCCAGGCATCGGAGTCTGGCCTGGTCATCCTGGGTCTCACAAACGTCTTGGTTACAAAGCACTGGCACAGAATGTACTGGTTGCCTCTTCTCAGCTCACCCTCTAGGAAAGCGATGGCTGCCCATGCCCTATAGTCTTCCATTATTAGGAGGTACAGGATGTCAACCACAATCTTGGGGATGATGAGGAAAAACTTACCACTGGTGGCAAGTTGCTGGATGACGGGAAGATGCTCACAGAGGGCTCTGGGGTCAGGGAACAGGTAAGGGGTCAGAGCTGGCTGAGTCTGGAGGCCCCTTAGAGTCTTCTCCAGCTGCACTACTTCACGGTGAAGCCAGAGCTGAACGATGTTTTTCGAAAACCTGATCCTTGAAGTTCTCTGAGGAAATTGCCGAGAAGGGTTTTCTGATCCTGCACAGCCACTGCTCACAAAGACACCCAACTTAGAGTTGAACCTCAGGAGCCTTCCAGGGAGTTGCGTGGCAAAGTGGCCAAAGCTTCTGAGGAAACAGATGCGTACAGCAGCTTCATCCTGGGGACTGAGGGCAGGGGGGTCTTGATCCAAGTACACCCTGTCCTGGGAAGCCTTCAGTGGGGCGTGCTGGCACAAAGCAATATCCTCAGGGAGATACAGGAACCTGGGAGGGCGGGAGCCTTTACAGCTCTGCAGCAGGTCTTGCAGCTGGTGGGACAGGCCAAGGCCTGGGTCCTGCAGGTCTGCCACTGAGGGCAGCAGGTTCAGCAGCACTGACAGATGGTCCCACAGGCTAAGTCGATTGCGCCAATATGAAGTGAGGAGGCAGTGGTTGGCGCGGAGCCAGCTCACAATCACCTTGACGGTGGGCAGCAGCCCTTCCGCAGAGAGGATCTTCAGTTTCTTCTGAACAGTCTGAAGGTGATTGCAAGACGGGTGGGTGGACGTGTTCTGTCCCAAGTAGGAACCGGTGGGCAGCTCTGTCTTGGGAGAGCATGACTTGTCATCCACAGCAGAAGCAGTGCTGGACGCAGGACTCCGATCAGACTGTGCCATCAGAGCCTTGGGCATGCAGGCAGGCGCCACGTGAGAACCAGGATTCCCTGGGTGTGTATGGCTCGGCGGGGTTGGCAGGTTGGCAGAGAGAGTTGTTCTCAAGAAATCTAGGAGATTCCTGGGAAGCTTGACCGCCATCAGCTTTTCTCTGGGCTGAGCAACTTTATAGCTGGACGTTGCCCCACCTTCCTGCTTGGCTGCAGGATTCGGGGAGTCGTTTGCTTCTGCGTCAGGGGCATCTGAATAAGATGTTTCACTACCGCTTTCAGAATGGGCCCGTGAACTTGAGAACATGTTTTCCTCTTCATCTGTCTCGTCGGAGTCACCGCAGGAACGGAAAGTGGCGCCCGACTTGTAATCCTCACCGGAAACATCAGGTGTCCTGTAGCTTTTCCGCGGTTTGCTGGGGTGGAGCCCAGGACAGGGGGCTGGAATGTCGTGCTGCTCCTTCGCGGTCTCTGTCTCCTGGCTGCCCTCCGTGGGGGTCACCACCTCGGGAGTCAGCTTCCCTTTCTGAAGCTCGGCCTGGATTCGAGTGTTCACGTGGCGAATCAGATGAGAAAAAAGGGTCAAGGTAAAGATGACCGCTGGGCTGGGCTGCCTTGAGCCTGCTTTCCTCAGGCTGTGGATACTCATGAGGCAAAGAATCACCATGTGGAAGATGAGAAGGTCCGGGAGAAACAAGTAGCCTCGTGGAGGCTTTCCCTCCACGGCAGCCTGACCCTGGTCAGATGGGCACGGCCGATAGGAAAGGCAGAGGCGAAAGTCGTCCAGGACCAACTGGCACAGAGCTATCAGCCGGGTGGTTCTGGGTTTCCTCTGAGGCTGCAGGAGGCTCTGAAGGTAGAGGAAGCTAACCAGTAGTCTTTTGTTATCCCAACACCGCCTCTGTCTGGGAGAGAGCTTCTTGCCCTGATACCTTTTCAGGCGACTGTATCTTTTTCCAGCATGATCGTATAGTTGTTTCAGGTTCCAAGCTGCCCCTTTGAAAGGCACTTCTGAGTGGAGGCAACGCTGGTAGAAGTACGTGGCTTCCACATCGTAGTACTTGCTCCCTGTGAGAGCTCCCAACTGGTTGAAGGGCATTCCCATGTGTGGGGCCACTGACAGGGCTCGATAATAACACCTCTCAGCCAAGTCCTTGGTGGCCAGGGCTAGGAATTCATGCTGATAGCGGAACAAGTCCCCCAGGTAGAGTAGGCAGCGATGGCAGGCCATTTGGGCCCAGGCTGCCTCTTCTTCGGATGTGGGCCCCACTTTCTCACAGCCAATCAAGTGGAATGCACAATGGGGCCAATCTATGTAACTCTGCAGCCTCAGCTCATAGTGTTGCTGAAGAAACAAGAAGAGATGCTCATAGAATTTGAGGCCACCCACCAGATGAGCTCTCAATGGGCCCTCCCACTGCTTGAAAGTGTGTTTTCTGTTGGTCTTCATCAACAGCATAACAACATCAGAGTACATCTTCCTCCATAACAATTCTTCGGCCTTCCTCCCATAATCCACCGGGTGCAGGAACATGAGCTTAATGCAAACTTGCTGAACCAAGTCCCTGAGGGCGAGAACATGGGGTTTGAAAACTTCATTGTGGGCATTGCCATTTCCAAGGAACAAGTCAAGGCGCTGAGCCGCTAAGCAAACCTCCTGGTAGAGGAGTTTGGCCTTCTTGGCTTCTGCCCGGCTTTTCTCCACGGGACCGGATCCTTTTCCCATGATGCTTATGTGTCCCTTCTGAAGAAAAACAAACAAACAAAAAAAACTACCTGTTAGTGTTTACCAACAAAGGCAGAAAAAAGAAGCAAAAACAATGACAACAAATCCCACGCACAAGACAGTGGGGACGCATACAGCCCAAGTAAAGCAGTTAACTCCTGTTCAACTTCTCAGCCTAAATACACTTTCTTCCAGAAAGCCAAATATTACTCCCAACTCAGAAGAGATGTCTCCTCTCAGTGCCTCCCCTGAACACTGTGCTGGCCGCCTGCCCCTGGCCAGATTCCCAAAGGCAAGATCTGAGTCAATTTGCCATTGTTTTCCCAGTACCGAACAATACCTGTGTCTAAAGAGCAGAAAATGAACGATGTTTATTCATAAAGTCTATTCTTTAAATGAATTATTTAATTTCAAGATGGAATATATAAAAACATTCCATTCACTGTTTAATATCAGAGAGGTAAAATTTAGCCATGTTACAAAACAGCGATAAGAGAACAAAAACAACAATAAGAAAACCCACAGCCTTCCACAACAACATTTACATTTGATCAAGGCCTTGGATTGGTTGGAAACTTCAATCTACGTTGTAGTAAAAACTCATGATATTAATGTAAAAATTATAAAATTCCTTACCTCTGAGTAGAATTTGCTTTTAGATTCTCAGGAGGGTGGGAGAAGAGAAAAACACCTTATACTATAAACAGAATTCATACAAAAGAAAATACAAAGAGTAAACGCAACATAGAAACTCTCTTGCTTCTTCATAATAAAAAAAAGGGCAAATTAAGCCAAAGCTGAGGTAGCAATGTGATCGTTCAAAGTAATAAAATATATTTTAAATCCAAACAGAAGAGGTTCAAGGACATGTTGAAACTTAGACAGCTAACATCCATTAAAAAGCTAAGTCCATAAAGTAATTTATGTTCATATTGTTTTGCTCAGAAATTCTGTTCCTTGGAATGATTACTAAGGAATTATATTTTGTAAAAGCCAAGCACTCATATATAGATGAGGAGGAAAGAAGAGAGGCCGGGAGTAGAAGGGGAACGACAACTTGCCTCGAGACCGTGCAATGCGGGAGCTGCCCAGTTAATTACAGTATCTCTACATGAAGGAAAGAGCTGTGTTCACTAAATATATAATCACTGTGGAGTAGATGCAAATGCTAGTCACATGGGAAAATAGTGTAAAGTCATGGGTCCTTGATGCCACCTTTTCAAAAACTTACATTTATAGTATAAAAGTTTTTTTTTAAAGCTGGTGTGATTACTTCTGCCCCCCCCACACACACCCCACAAAAGATGTGTGATACTGTTATTATTGTCAGTCATTCTCATGCAACTTTTTTTTAAATTCATGGATCTACGCTGAAGGCAAAGCAGGCGCATAAGCAAATGTGGCAAAGAAAGCTGATGGTGCCCAGCTATCAAAACATATAGTCTCTAGGGTCTTAAAGACTTGAAGGTAAACAAGCAGCCATCTAACTAAAAGCAACAAAGCCCACAAGGATGAAGCACACCAGCCTGTGATCACAAGGTGCCAAAGGGATCAGGGATCAGGCAGCAAAGAACAAAAAATAAAATCATTTTGAATGAGGGGAGTACAGATTGGGGACCCAAGACCCATCTGTAGCCAACTGGTTATCCCCTTACAGAAGGGTCGTGGGGAAGAGATGAACCAGTCAGGGGGCAGTGTAGCAATGATAAAACATACAGCTTTCTTCTAGTTCTAAAATGCTTCCCCCACCCCCTCACCCATCTCCCACTATCATGATCCCAACTCTACCCAACAAATCTGGCTAGACCAGAGGATGTACACTGGTACAGATAGGAACTGGAAACACAGGGAATCCAGGACAGATGATCCCTTCAGGACCGGTGCTGAGAGTGGTGCTACCGGGAGGGTGGCATAGAAAGGGGGAACCGATTACAAGGCTCTACATATAACCTCCTCCCTGGGGGATGGACAACAGAAAAGTGGGTGATGGGAGACGTTGGACAGTGTAAGATATGACAAAATAATAATAATTTATAAATTATCAAGGGTTCATGAGGGAGTGGGGAGCAGGAAGGGAAGGGGGAAAATGAAGAGCTGATACCAAGGGCTCAAGCAGAAAGCAAATGTTTTGACAATGATGATGGCAACAAATGTACAAATGTGCTTGACACAATGGATGTATGTATTGATTGTGGTAAGATTTGTATGAGCCACCAATAAAATGATTTTTTTAAAATTCATGGATCTACATGTTTGCATGCCTGACATAAAATATTGGGGAGGGAAGGGCTCTAATGAAGTGTAGACTATACAGTGTTAAGGAGCTCTGGTGGTACAGTGACTTAAGCATATAAGGGTAAGTCTAAAAGTATTGTTAAAAAGAAAACTCAAAAAAACTTTCTTACACAAAAATCGAATTGTGATGCTACTGTTTCTTAGCATATCCTCCTCTGTCAGGTCTACAAACTTCTAAAGGCCAGGGGGTTCATCTCTCCTGAAAAAGTCTGTATTCCTGAACTTATACTTTGTCCAAATGGCAGCTTGGAGGGATTCGGTGGTGTTCCTCTATATGCTGAGTTTGGGGAGCAAAAGGAAGTATGAAGGGGCAAGCTCAGGATTGTAGGCTGGATGGGGGAAGGTTCCCCAGTGAACCGCTCAAGGAATGAGTGGGGGAACGGGTGGGGAAATTTTCCTAATGAGGGAAAAAAAGTCCTTGCCACTTCCTGACCTTTACTGCACCAGCACAGCATTCAGTTTCCCTACAGTTTCTTCATAATAAACCCCCAAGATCATCCTCTATCCTTTGAGGAAACTTATTAAGATTACCCTTTTGGGTTCTAAAAAAAAAAAAAAGAAAACCAGTTATTGTAAACTTCTGATACAATTTCTATACTTTGAATGTAACTGATCTGGCAGAAACCCTTAGGAGCCATTGTTGATCACACTTTTTTGTGTGTTTTTTTTTTCAAAGCACCCTACAAGATCAATGAATTACTGGATTCATTTGTCTCATCCGCTGATCACAGACATATATTTCAACAATTTGCTTTAATAAACCCATACATATATGACCTGAAACCCTAGAAGCAATGCTTTTTGACTTACCCTTTTATCAGGCTCATTGCAAATAAACAGTAGCAGCAAAGCTATACTAGCATATAAAAACACCTATCATCTGCCAGTAGGAGACGTGAAAAGTTGAAAGTAATGAGGGATGTGGGCAGAGTTAGAAAAGGGATTTGAGGGCAAAAATAGCCAGGACAGAAGCAGCAGTGGTACCAGAGTGCTACACTCTCCAAAGCAGCCCAAAGACCACGGGTCTCTCTGGAGAGGTAAATAAACGGTCAGGATGGTTCACAGTCCCAAGAAGGGAAACATTTTCTGAGGGATGTTAGGCCCCTATCAAGTCTCAGGAGACAGATAGTCTAAGCGAGAGAGAAATAAATAGATTGCAAACCAAAGTATAGGCAGAAGATTTCTGGAGATGTAAATCCCACTGAAAGTCACTTGGGTTTAGGAATGACTGATGACTCTCTTCCTTTGCCCTTCATTCCTGATAACCTAGTTTGGAGCTTTAAATGTCTGTTCCTCCCAACAATACTTCAAGGAAAACCTATTGACCCATAATTTGAGTTTTGGACTAAAGTCACATCTAAGTATGGAGCCTCACACCACAGTTAGCCAGCACTGATTCAAGGACAAACTATCAGACCTCCTTGTAACAGTTCCTGTAACCTTTAGAACCCTAATTGTGAGAAAACATAGATATTCTCAAGTTATACCAAACTTGAAGACACACAGTATAACAGAAATAAAGTTAGTTCCAAGTAGATGTCTTTAAGGTTCTGCCTAAATAAACCTCTCTCTGGGAAACAGGAGGAAGTCATGGATAAAATAATGAATCATTATTTTATTGTTCCAATAAATGGAACAATGTGAACAAAAGTTTAATGAATATGATCTTACCTCTGAGAGATCATTTGATGGGAAAATTTGCCATAGAGATTCAACTTGCCCAAACAAATCAGAATATTGTCTGAAAAACATTAAAATAATAACTATTTTGATTTTCTACTAAGATCTGTGAATAACAGCACTGATAAAAGCTATGAATTTGGGTCACTCTACTCCAAGGTTTTATAGTCTACATGGCATAACAAACACTCTACAGACTTTGACATGAGTTTATGCAGTTAAAATATCTTGATTTCCTCAGCTTCTTAAACTGAACAATTCCTGGCATTGATCCATTCTCTTTGAATGAACACAGCCACTTCACTGCAAAACTAGTTACTCAGCCCAGGTAATCAGTAATTCCCAGGACTGCTTACTCCTTCCAAATACATTTCCCAGCAGGCTTCCTGAAGCTAGGCAATTAGAGCACAGCTGTCCCTGCTGGTGCAAAGGTTCAAGCACTTGACTGCTAATAAAAAGGTTGATGGTCTGAACTCACTATGGTGGACCACTTCTCTACAGAGGGCAGCCTTAGAAACCCAGTGGGACAGATGTGCTCTGTCCACAGGGTCACAAAGAAATATTCCTCTCCAATGGTGATATTGGGCTGTCAGATGTCCTAGTTGTCAAAAAAGCTTAGAAAGTATTTTGCGTTCACCTAAGTGATCTCTCAATGTTCTAGAATCTGCAAAGCAGCAGGTCTCATGTAGAGTTTGGGGATACCATTTTCCAGCAATCTGCAGAAATGAGTGCTACGAAGTATAAAACCAAGTATTAAAAGGACCAGATTTTGTATTTTTTCCCTAACCAGATAAATTTCACAGAGGAAGAAACAGAATCACATACTTCGCCTCAAGCACAACATCAAGTCCCTTCCATCACTAAAAGTATCATATCATTCCCCAACTCAACAGCATGACAGTAACAGCAATGGATGGCATCTTTCCCGGTATTCAAAAGGTACAGTCATTGGAGGCAAGGTAATAAACCTTTTAGAATATAAATTTTTAAAGATTATTTTTAGCCCCTAAGGACAGAGAAGAAAAGTTTAAACAGGACTTGAACTCAAAAATGCATTGCCCAAAAAGGACTGATGTGTTCAATTGCATCTAAAGGCAATTAAATTTCAAATAAAGAAAAAGTAAGGCATAGTAAATGTGGTAAAAACAACAACTATTAGCAAAGGGTATTTACAACATTTGGAATAATAAATGACTAATCTAAAAATTGATTTTTTTACCGACGAATCAGAAAGAAAAAACAGAAATAGTCTAATCGGGCACTTAAACACAAAACAAAGCATTCAAATAGCCAATAAATTCTTGAACATGCATTCCATCTAACCGGTAACCAGAATTACACAAATTAACATCACAACTGATTAAATGGAAAATATATTCTTCCAACTGGCGAATTTTAAAGTACGGTGGTACTAAATATTCTAAAGGTGTGGAACGTTCATATGTTCCTAAGACAATTACTTTGAAAACTGAAATCTAGGAAACCACTCCTTGTCTGTCAGTGGGTGGCTCTGTGTTACTATGATACCAGGATCTATGCTACCTGTATCGCAAGTATCAGCAGAGTCAGCAGAATGGACAGTTGTCAGCAGAGCTACTGGACCAAGAACAGACTAGGGAGAAAAAAGGAATTGATTTCCCACTTCTGAGGGGTTAGTCACTGAAACCTTTAAGAACAGCAGTAGAACATTGACGAATATAGTGCCATAAAATGGGCCCCTCAATACGGTGGGGTAAAAGCTGCCCTCCTCGAACTAGAATCAACCTTAGTGATGTAGGTGGAGTTAAGCTTTCGGGTCCTTGAGAAGCTGATGGGGCATGACTCAACATGAGAAGAAACAGCTGTAAAGATCCATTAATAATTTGATGTGAAATGTATAAAATATAAATCTAGGAAAATGAAAAGCCATCAAAAATGAAATGGAATACATAAAGATGTATAGCCTAGGCAATAGGAAGCTGAAATGGACTAATATTGGCCATTTTGAATCAGACAATCTCATCATGTAATATGCCAGGGATGACAAATTCAAATGAAATGACATCACATTCATTGTCCAAAAGAACATCCTGAGAAATCCTGAAGTACAATGCTGTCTGTGATAAGGTAATAATCCATACCCTTCCAAGAAGTAAGATTAAAACTTGTTGAACTTTACACACCAACCACTAAAGCGAGTGATGAAGAAATTTGAAGAATTCTACCAGCTTCTGCAGCAAACACAACCAAGATGCACTGATAATTACTGGCAATTGGAATGCAAAAATTAGAAACAAAGATATGGCCTTGGTGATAGAAATGAAGTTGGAGAGCACATAATAGATTTTTTTTAGGATGAGAAAATGTGTGCTGGCCACATCTGCCTTCCTTTGATTTTAGGAGAGAGAAGGAAAATCCAATTCCAAACCAACACAAGGCCAATTGCCACAGGGCCAAGGTCAGACAGGCCTCCACCCTCCATCCTTCTTTATCCTGTTCCAAGCTTCTCTTAACAACCGTTCCTCCCACGACACTCTAGGTCTTGGCTCAGTCACGTGGTCACTGGGCACCTGTCTTCCTCTGTGGGCCACAAAGCCCATCTGCTGCTTTGCCTGACAGTTCCACAGCCTCCTGACCTCAGGTCTCCGTGCAGCAGCTCCTCTGCTCTGCTGCCTGTGTTTCTGCACGGCATGAGCTTTGCTGCCTCTTCCACTTCAGACAGGGATCTAGAAAGAATGTGCTCTGCAAAGGGCTTGTTTTCCTTCATGGTCCCAGGAACTCTCTATTTCTGAGATCATTCTCTTATGTACAAGGGAATAGCAACCATAATCCTGTATTATTATTTCATATATCTATTTTCAGAGTTACAGAGACATAGATAGAAGAGTCATATTAAGAATTTCCCTGCACAAAACCAATGATTTTGTCATTGCAAATACCTTTTTCAACAACATAAATGGTAACTTTACATGTGAACACCACGAGATGGAATACACAGAACTGAAATAGACTTCTTCCACAGAAAAAGAGATCAATATTATCAGCCAAAACAGGTCAGGGCAAGAGTATGGAACAAACCAGAATGATGAGGGCAATGAATGTACAAATGTGCTTTACACAATTGATGTATATATGGATTGTGATGAGTTGT